TAAGTCATGTTTCATTAAGTTAAAGGATTTTTAAGACAGTAGACTGAAGCACTGTGATCAGATTCGTCAAGCTCTGAATCAGAGACGCCATCAAAATCCTGCTTTTGTTATTCATTATATATATATATATATATATATATATATATATATATATATAATTATGTTATGAAGAACTTGGTAAACCGAATTGGTAAATCCAAGTAGGATGAAATCCTGAGAGCTCAATGTGAAGAATAGAGCTAGTATTTAATGAAAAACAGACCACTTTAAGGTACCATTACAATAATTTATTTCACCAAAATCCTTTTTCGAAGTGTTACCTGATAATCCGAAATCCTTTAAAAAGGATTTTGGTGAAATAAATATTAATGGTACCTTAAAAAATCTGTTTTTTCATTAAATATATATATATATATATATATATATATATATATATATATATATATATATAGTGGACTCTCCGTCGTATTCGTATTAGGATCAAGCATCTCAGTTCCTAGGAACCGACAGCCCAGACCCCAGCATATATGATTTGATTCTAGTGATGAAGGCTTTGTGCAGAACCAACTACACTTTTTTGAAGGACCGAATACAGAAACCTAGTACACTACGTGTCATAAAGTCCATAAACTAACCTCTGTATGTTTTGAATTCAGAGTTGTCCTTCTTCTAGACCAGTTGCCACCCCGTCTGTCCTGCTACTTACCCATAGCTGGAGAGAGAAGAAGAGTCTTAATACCTTTCCTAATGGTATTAGCACGTAAGTGAATGTAATGGTTTTGACTGGAATTTGAACTCGGCTCTCCGATTCCCCAGAGCCGGTATCCACTACAGCGTGTATATATGTGTGAAATATTATTTTATTAAATTTCAATAGATCAAGAAATTTTGGGGGAAAATGTATGATAAAGGGGAAAAAAGTTTTGGTGTGACGCGTTTTGTCCTTAGGACTAAGTTTGTTTACATTGATGTGACTACACATGTATCTAACGAGAGACGCCGGAAAATTTTTTTAAATAATATTCTTTTATATGTGGGTTTTGGACATGTAATCTTGCCAATTTCATTCGGAATTTTTTTTCTTCTTTATGTTTCCATCATATTTGTTTTGTTTTTTTTAAATATCCCATATTGTGATAAGAGAAGATCTGTCAAGAATGGTGAAACGTTGTAAGAACCTGGACATAAATTTACTGTGGATGAACCAGCGTTTAAAGCACTTTCTAGACATTTTCGTCTTAGGGAATTGTTTGTTCTTTTAAGGCCTTTGTTCAATCAAAATTGTGTTTAGTCTCGTTATGGTTACCAGCTAATGCCTTTAACGTGTTATTTTGTAAAATATCCCTTTTGTGTTCATATACTGTTTTATTTAAACTTCTTTGTGGTTTCTCCGATATATACTTTCTGGCAATCATTACAGGTAATAGAATAAATTCCTACTTCAAGTTTTAACTTATTGTTTTGTATTAAGTCTTTTAGTGTTTTAGACTTGTGATACATTTTATGTTGAGGTTAGATAAATTCTTTCAGTTATAGTTAAGATAGAGTTACTGGGTAGTACAATATATTTTTTTGATTCGTGGAGTTTTCCTGGAGGGGGCCACTTATCTATTTTTATCAGTCTTTTGTTTCGAATTGTATATGGAAGAGGGTATTGGAGAAGTTTGAAAATAGAATAAAATAGAGGAAAAAAGGACATATAATCAGAATCAGTAAAAACAGTTGTAATTTCTAGGACACATAATTAGGAAAAGACGGCTTGGAGAATTTGCCACTCACAGTATATATCGAGATCAAAAGGTGCAGGAGGATTCAGTAGGTCATCTACTTGACCAGCTTGAGGGGCACCTCGAGGTGGTGTAATGGTTAGCAAGTTTGTCTCGCTAGAACTATTACGACTGAGTAGTGAGTTCGATCCTCACTGGGTGCCCAATACTTTCGGCCTTGTGCCACATCTGAGCTACGCTTGGAAAAGCTTGAGGATGGTTATGATGGAAAAGTTACAAACCTTGATAAAAACTACAAGTGATAGGAGGTTGTGGAGAGTCATGATCACAAGTATCCTGAAAAATATTGAATCTCATAAAGATTAGAATTTGAAGCAGAGTAATAAGTACACCAATTGATAAGTAAGTATTAAGAATTTCATGTGTCTGTGTGTGTGTGCATACGCGCGCGCGTGCGTGTGTGTGCATGTTTCTCTCACTGCCAGGGCAAAAGGTATATAAAAAGATAGACTTACCTGGTGCTATTTGCACTTACGACCAAAACAAACACTAAGAAAAAAACAAATAAATAAAACAACATTCATTTCTTTATCGTTTAGCAACACGTCTGTCTTGTGAATAATTGTCCGCTGGCCCTGATACCCGTTCAAGGATCAAAAGAAGTCTCTTTATGGCGTCGAAGCAGTCCTTATCACATGAACAACGTTGAGAGTCGACGAAGAGAGAGAGAGAGAGAGAGAGAGAGATAGATAGATAGATAGATAGATAGATATGTATAGAGAGGGTAAAAATGGTTGTATTCAAGATATTTATAAAGGCGGTAAATTAAAAGGTAAAAAATAGATATAAAAACGAACTAGATGTGTATGTGAAGGGGAGGGTAAAAAATAAGGAGAAACAAAAACAATATCTTCTTCTATGTGACTTGTTCCTTCAGAACGTTGGTGATTATGCCTCACCACATTTTCCTCTCCTTTGTAGCTCTTAATACATGTTGTCTTTTTATCTCTCCTAAACTGTGTTCCACTATCCATTTCCTCAAGCTTGCTAGGTGGGTGAAAGCTGTTTTCCTCTGTCACCATTGCCTTCATTCTTTTATGTGAGTATCAAAGTTTCTAAGCATTCTTTTCTCATTATGTGCCTTGAATTTACAAATGTCTCTTTCTAATGTTAAGTATAAGTGGTCTTTTGGCTCCTATTTTCTCTATAACTCATTGCTCCCATGTTCAGTCTATGGCATTCTCAGTATCCTCCTGCAGAGCCACATTTCTGTTGTTTTAAGTCTTTTGAAAGTGTTGCCGAGTCTTTTTTTTCACTATCTTTTAATTAACAAAAATACATTTATTTTAATATAAGTATGAGAGTCATTCAAAAAGTTCTCAGCCTAACCCAGAACGAGTTGGCGTAAGAAGACAGTTTTTTTTTAATATTTTTCAATATGGTTGCCCCTTGATGTCATTGCACTTGGTCCTAAGATGCTTGAGCATTGCAATCCCACCATGGAAGGCGGTGTCCTGGCTCACCAAAACTTTCCCAACACCAGATATGATATCATTGTTTCCAAAATGGTGACTGTGATTTGAGTTTTTGAAACAGGAAGAAGTCAGATAGAACTAAGTCTGGTGAGTTAGTGGGGGGGATGGGGTAGTAATTCAAAGCCACAGTTGGCTGCTTCAGCTACTTCAACAAATGTAGTGTGAATGGTTGCGTTCTCTTGCAGCAAGTGCACACCTGCTTTAAGCATCCCTCTGCGTTTTCACTTCATTGATTCCTTCAATTATCTTAATTCTGATGCATAGTAATATCCATTAATATTTTATCCCTTTTTCAGATAGTCTACAATGATTATGCTTTCAGAATTCCAAAAAAGAGAAGCCGTCCCTTTGACAAAAGACGATGCCTTCTTGAACTTCATCGGGAATGGAGAACCAGATTGTTTCCAATGTTTGGTTTGATTCAGCTTTGAAGTGGTGAACCCAGGTTTCAACTTGACTTACTAATGTGTGGTGGAAATTCTCAGGGTCAGCCTGGAGCGAGTCATAACTGTCCTGGAAATATCAACACTTTTCAGCTTCAGTGTCAATATTCTTGGAACCCATCTTGCAGACAGCCTGTTCATCCCCATGATCTCAGTTAAAGCAGTATGTACCGAACCAGAACTAATGCCTATGGGCTTAGCTTCCTGCTCGACAATAAGACACCTGTCACCTCAAACCATACTGTTAATGGCACGTACTTATTCATCGGCGGTTGAGGTTTTTGAACGACCTGACCGAGGGTCATCTTCTGTGCTGTCCCTGTCCCGCTTGAATTCCGCAGCTCACTTCCTCACAGTTGCCTAGGAAGAGGAGTCGACCTCAGCAGGTGTCTATACCATGTCCTCATGGTTTTCCGTGGGTGTCATACCATTTCTTTTGCAAATACTTGTTTTGTCCATTTTTAGATATGTTGCACATATCTCACTTTCTTGCACAGAAATTTAGACAGAAATCTGAATTAGTTCAATTAGTCGAAAAATGTTCAGCTATGGCTCTTCTTTCTGGGTGAGGCTTAGAACTTTTTGAACGACACTCGTAAATATAAAGTAATATGAAAGTATATATTACTGTAAACATTAACTTTAAAAAGATAGAATCTATGGTTATTAGCAAAATTAAACAGGTACAAAAATTTAAATATCTGGGAAGAGTTTTAAAATAGGATGGAAAATATGGCACCAAAATCTAAAGTTTCATTGCCATAATGAAAGATGTCTTCCAAAAGCTAAGCAAAGCATCAAGATTGATTGATTCGTTTTCTACAGTTTATAAAACCCTTTGCGGATTACTTAAAACCAGATTTTTCTTTTTTTTTGTAAGAATTTTTTAAAGAAAATAATGCTTACTAATTAACCCATAGCTGGGGAAGAAGTTGTAGATTCATACCTTTCCCAAGTTATTATATTTATTTTAACTAAGTGCGAGTATCTGTTATAATTATGAAACGAAGGGAAAAGCTGAAGATGTGATTGATTGATTCATTTGTTACGGTTTATCAACCCTTTGCAGATTATTTAAGGCCAGAATATACTTTTAGATTGTAAAAATTTTTTAAAGATAATAATGGTTTAGTCATACAAGTCTTACTAATTAACCCATAGCAAGGGGTTGAAGAGATGGATTCATACCTTTCCCAAGCGCCTAAGTGAATATAACGAACCCAACTGGAATTGGAACTCAGCTCTCCGATTAATAATTCCAAGCTATTATTACTTACCCCACCCGCGCATCCAAGCTTGCACCACCTGGTATTCTCAAACTGTCACCAATCTAGATACTAATCAAACTCGACGTTGCTTAACTTTGGTGATCGTACGGGAATCGATGTTTCAACGTGATGTGTCCGTAAGCTCTTAATAAGAAATAGGAAAATTTCAATAAAAACAATGAAATAGTACTGAAATGATGCAATATCGGTCCTCTTATACGACAGTGAATGCTCGACAATCTCGTCACAGATGGAGGTGAGACTTGAAGCAATAGAAATGTAGTTCTACAGAAGGATACTGAGAATATTATGGACTGAACAGATAAGCAACGACTAAGTTTATGAGGAAACAAAAAGGACACTTATATATTGCATCAGAAAAAGTGAGTTGAAATTTCTAGGGCACATAATGAGGAAAGAAGGCTTGTAAAATTTGACACTCACAGGGCAGGAAAGCAGTGCGCAACCAACCTATCATGGCAGAACAAGTATTAGCATATATAGCAAAATGTCTAATGTGGAAGTTGTGGAGGGCTATGATCTTCCACGTCCTGAAGGGACACAGCACAAAAAAGAAAACTTTGACGTTACTTGAAATCATTCAGACGGAGTGGGGGGCTGTGAATGTTCCCCTATCGCATGAAAATAAAATTAAAGTAGAAAAAATTTTAAGATGACGAAATCTTTCGGCGCGGTAATTATTAAATTTTAAATATGTGGATTTCTTAATATTTTAAATGTTTAACTTTCATTACATATATAAGTTATTATCTGTCTATATTTTTGAGATTAGGTATTGTATCTATTTACACTATTTACATCGTTCGGTCTATCGTCTTTGTCTTTATTGTCGTATTCACGACGTTTCGGCCGTTCTATGCTCCGACATTCTTCAGGTGATATACGTTGAAATTTCCCCAAGGACACATGGTCCGGTAGATAAAATCGTTTGTTGAGTAATCCAAAAAAGTCACATGACCCTAAGAGTAGTGAGTTCAATACCTGGTTACAGCAGAGGAAACTAAAAATCTTGGAAAGTTGAGTTACTAAAAGGAAATAACTGAAACTGAGATATCCTGAAAAGGCATGGCATGTGGAATTAGAACAATCTACCGCTGTGCACGAAATAAAGGGTTCGGTTCGAAATTCTAACGTATATCACCTGAAGAAGGTCGCAGCAAATAAACCGAAACGTCGTGAATGTGATAATAAAAATGAGAGCAATACTGTAAATCATATTTTATTATTATATTGGAACAACCAGTAAATAATGAAATCAAAGCTAAAATATACAGTTAAAAAAAGGCCCTCATTTGAACTCCCAACTAAACAGGAGTTTTACGCGAACCTCTCTCTCTCTCTCTCTCTCTCTCTCTCTCTCTCTCTCTCTCCGACGTTTGGGAAGGCCTACTCTAAGGTAATCTTTTGTCCGATCTAACTTTAGCGAATAACAGACTAATTCTCGTGAAAATTATTTACTTCTTGTAAGCAAGAACACAGACACAGAAATAAGCTCTCCTCTCTGTTATTATCTCTCTCTCTCTTTCTCTCTCTCTCTCTCTCTCTCTCTCTCTCTCTCTCAGACACATAGGCGCACGCTCGCACAGACGCATATAGAGTTGATGCTCGCACACGAGGCAAACTAGTCGATCGCCGGGAGCGCGAAACTCGCCTAAAGGCGCTAAAATCCTTATAAAGCGAGATGCTTAGTGTGTGCCAATTGGCGTGTTGAAATCACTCGAATAATCTGCTATAATCAGGTGTAATTACCTTATGAAAACGTATTGGAAAAGGGGTAAGGTGGCGCAAAATCTAGGTCTGACCTAAGGTGCTGAATACTCCGACGCACGCCAGTCCTACACATGCGCAAGCGTGTACTATCTCTCTCTCTCTCTCACCCATACACATATGTATGTTTTAACTGGGTTAATTTTGACTGCAGTTTTTTTTTTATTCAGATTTGGTTGAAGACTAACGAATGTTTTTTTAGCGATATTTTCGGTTTTTTTTTTTAATATTTCGAATCATTTTCTAGGCTTGAAAGATGACGTGTGAAGACACAACATTTGCAAAAATAAGACGAACCGAACACAGCACTAAAAGAAAAACTCTTTGATAATGACTTAGAAAAATTGAAATTACTCAGATATTGCGCAGTTTATATTTACACATTTTAACTGAAAACAGGAAATGGTCCGCGATATATATATATATATATATATATATATATATATATATATATATATATAAACCTTGATAAAGAACTTTCAAAAAACGTTGATCTTTACTCAAAACAGAAATTTTCTAAAGTTCATTTCGAAAGGAAAATACAAGAAACATGGTCCAAGCTTTCGACTTTCTCAAGTCATCATCAGGGTCGGTGGAAACAATTGCTGCGTTTCGTAGAACAAGTGATGTGACGCAGGCATACAGCGTTGTGACGTACGCAAACAGGACTGGGACGTAGGTAAACAGCGTTGTGTCCTGTATGTGTATGCGTGTATGTATGTGAGTACGTTTTCAATACATTTGAGTATGTGAGCTTAATTAAACTTCGTTAAATTTGAAACTTAGCAACTTAGCTGAAGACAATATTATTTTTAAATTCAAAGTAACCTCTGGTTTCAGTAAAGTAGATTTGACTGGGTGGAAGTGCCTGGCTTACTCTCAGCTAGTTTTAAATTAAATTTCTTTCTCTCGAATGGCTACCAGCCAAGGCTAGAGAGATCCCGGTCTCAAGATGCTGGTGATACTGTGATGGTGTTTCAGTAAAGTAGATTTTACTGGGCGGGGTTGCTTGACTAATTACTGGTTACTCTCAGTTAGTTTTAAATTTTTAGTTGGTTTTCTTCTAGACTAGTTACCAGCCAAGGCTAGAGAGAGCCCGACCTCAACTTGCCTGTAATACTGTGGTTTAAGTAAAGTGTATCTGACTGTGTTGATTGATTGACTTACGCTCAGCAAGTTTTAAATAATGAGTTTTCTTTCTCCTAGACTGGTTACCAGCCAAGGCTAGATGGTTTCCGGTCTCAACATTCTGGTGATACAGATTTGATTGGATAGAATTACACCCAACTAGTTTTACATTGAAAGATCTTTCTTCTAGACTGGTTACCAGCCAAGGCTAGAGAGAGCCAGGTTTGCCTAGTTATTTAAACCATAGGTGGAGGGTGGAGAAGAAATGTAGAAATTGAAATGTGTGTATAATGGTCGAGCCCGGAATTTGAACTTAATTCACCGATTTCGTTTTTAACGTTACGCGGATAATCAATAATTGACATGACCTATGTTCTTATTTTTGTTGTTATCATCACAATGCTTCGAACGTTCTCTTGTAGAGCCTTCTTCAGGTATCTGTCGATTCGCGTAACCTTCAGGGAATTTCGAACTGAACTTTGCAACCCCTGTCCCAAAACTCTCGATGCTCTGTTACTGTTTCCTTTGGAAAATGTCCCTTCCTGAATTCCGCCAATTCTAGCCTTCACCCTGCAGAAGCAGATACTAAACTAAGGAAAAGATCGTTCACATTGACTCGATGATCCCTACTATGGTCGACTCATTTTTAACCTTCATAGCTGTGAGCCACCCTGCCACGCTCATTGTAGCGAGCCACCCTTATTCACTTTGTGTTCCATTGGTGATATGTAAGTTTCACTCGAGCAGCTTCATCCTTGCTCAACCTGGTCTTAAAAGAATACTTCCTCGATCACTACAACCTCAACCTGTTCAAGTTTAGGATTGACCGTTAACTTCCCTACATATCCCCAAAAACTGTGTCTTTTAAATCTTACACGGTTTCTCTACCTCGAGTAGCTCTCGAGCTTTGTGCATGGAAAACATTATTGTAACAAAAGCAAGCAAAAAACCCTTTATTTAATCTAGGAGTAGAAACGATTATTGTTCCGCTGTACATATTTGTGGATATGTCAACTTATTCATTTTAGTAATGCTCAGTTATTGCCTGACCTTTTTGCAAATATCCTAAAGCAACGATCTAATCCACTAGGCTAGACTCAAATTGAACAAAGAACAAAACGAGATATCCCCCTACTTACATTATTCGGACTGTTATCCTCATCTTCATTGTCATATTCACAACTTTTCGGCCGTTCTACACTCCGGTTTTCTTCAGATGATTGGAATTTCGAACCGAACCGTTTATTTCGTCCACCGAGATAAATTGTTCTAGTTCCACGTGCCATGCCTCTTCCGGATGTCTCAGTTATTTCCTTTTAACTCAACTCTCCAAGTTTTGGTTCACTATTGCTGAGTCTAGTCACTGGATCTAACGTCTTTGTCCAATGGGCCCTGTTGTGAATATGACAATGAAGATGAGGATAATAATCTGAATAATGTAAATCATAATACCTCATCTCAGAGATATAGACAGAGATGTCCCTAGATATAGACAGTGATACGATAACTATGTAGCTTCGTAGATTAAATAAAGAATTCAGTTCTTAAAAAAAACGGACTGCACAAAGATCGAAAACTTATGATAACAAAAAAGATTAGTCCGAATGTAAATAATATTGTCTTTGTGAATCTGTAAATATACAGACTTGTGACAGGCTAAGTTAGAAGCTTTTCTACAACTAGAATATATTATAGTCTTTCTCTTAAATGTAAGTACGCCTTGCCCTTGCTTTTAGCATTGTGACAGGCTCAGTTCGGTTAGAAGCGCTGCCTGTTACTACAGAGCTTTTCTTTTATAATATATTATGGTCTTTATTTCAGAGGTTTTCCATAGAATATATTATAGCGTTTCTCTTACACGTCCGTACGTCTTGCTTTTAGCCTTATGTCTAACTCAGTTTAGTTAGAAGGGCTGCATATTATTGAGTTTTCCCTTAACTAGAACTAGAATATATAATAGTTTTTTCTTTTACACGTAAGTACGCCTTGCCTTTAGCCTTGTGACAGACTCAATTTATTTAGAAGTGCTGAATGTTATTTAAGAGCTTTTCCTTAACAAGAATATATTATAGCGTGTCTCCTTACACATAAGTACGTCTTACTTTTAGTCTTTTAACTGACTAAACCATGGCGAAAACATTTATAGATCTTTCCTTACTTCGATTCCAATATTGTAGCTATTCTCTTTGTGTGCATGTTTTACAAATGTCTCTTCATACGCAG